CTGCTGCTGCTGCTGCTGCTGCTGCTAGATTTAATTGAAAAAAGGTTTTAAATGAATAAAAAGATTAATAATTGAATTATGAATTAATTTTCGATCTAAAAATGCCAACGAGAGGCCCCGGGGCCCCCTGCAGCAGCTGCTGTAGCAGCTGATCGCGAGCTGCGTCTTTTTGTCTGTTTTGTTTGAATTAAAGAAACAAATAAACATTTAACTCATTTAATTTAATTCTTTTTACTTTTACTTTCCTATTTTGTCTTCAGATGTCCAATGTGCTGCTCGGAGCAGCAAAACAAGGCCCCAGTGTAGCTGCTGCTGCTGCTGCTGTTGCTGCTGCTGTTGCTGCGGCAGAAACAGCAGCAGAGCCGCTGCAACTGCGGCAGCAGCAGCAGCGCAGCAGCTGTAGCAAAGTCGCCAGCAGCAGCAGCACCAGATACAACAGCTAGCAGCAGCAGCAACGACTGCTGCAGATCCAGCAGCAGCTGCAGCAACCTCACCAACTAGTGTCGCTGCTGCTGTTGCTGCAGCAGCAGCAGCAGCAGCAGCAGCTGCTGCTGCTGCTGCTGCATGACTTTCGGGTGTCTTCTTTTCTCTCTACTCTCTACAGCCAGACACGACTCATTTGTTGTTTATTTATTTATTTATTTATTTATTTATTTATTTATTTATTTATTTATTTATTTATTTATCCATTTATTTATTCATTTATTTTTTAATTTATTTACTTTTTATTCATTTACTATTACAAATAAATAAAATAAATAAAATAAATAAAATAAGTAAAATAAACAAAATAAATAAATTAAATAAAATAAATAAAATAAGATGAAGAAAGAAAAATTGAGAAGAAAGAAAGGAAGAATCAAAAGAAATAAAGGAATTAAAATAAATGAGGAATTAAGAGAAATAAAACAAATAAATAAATAAGCTAAACAAAACAAATAAATAAATGAAAGAAATAAATAAAGAAACATAGGGAAGTAAAAGAAATAAAAAGAATTAAAATAAATAGAACGAAGATTTAAATGCCATTTAAATGTTATTTAAATACAGTTTAAGTGTTATTTAAATGCCATTTAAATGGCATTTAAATGGTATTTAAATAACATTTAAATAACATTTAAATGCCATTAAAAAATGTTATTTGAATGCCACTAAATGGCATTTAAATGGCATTTAAATAACATTTAGATGGCATTTAAATGCCATTTAAATGAAGTTAAAAGAGACACTTGAATGAAATTAAAAGGGATATTCGAATGAAATTAAAAGAAACATTTGAATGAAACTAAAGTGAAATTAAAATGAAATTAAAAGAGACATTTAAATGGCATTAAAATGAAATTAAAATGCAATTAAAATGAAATTTAAATGCCATTTAAATGGCCTTCAAAGGGACATTGAAAGAACATTAAAATGCTATTGAAGTTAAATTAAAATGAAATTAAAATGCTATTGAAGTTAAATTAAAATGAAATTAAAATGCCATTAAAATACCATTAAAGTGAAATTAAAATGAAATTGAAATGAAATTAGAATTAACTTAAAATGAAATTAAAATGAAATAAAAAACGAAATTAAAATGAAATTACAATGAAATTAAAATGAAATAGGGACGAAATTAAAATGAATTTAAAAGTGGCAGAAATCGAGACCAACAGAGTCCCAAAATGTCCCAAAAATGTCTCCAAAAGTTCTTTTTTTTCTCTTTTCTTTCTTTTCTTTCTTTTCTTTTTTTTCTTCTTTTGACAAGATGGAGAGAAAATAAAACTACTTTCTGGAGACCAATTGGGACTTCTTTTGTTTAAAAAAAGAAATCTTTTGGGCTTTTAAATGAACTTTCTTTTTGACCATTTGGCTCCAAAAAACCCCAAAAAGTCCCCAAATGTCCCTTTTTTTCCGGGTTCTTTTGGGAATGATTAAGAGGCAAAAAGACAATTTGTGAAGACCTCTTGGAATCTCTTCTGTTCAAAAAAAGAAACCTTTTAAAAGTCTTTTAAACTTTCGAATAAACTTTCTCGCGGCTTCATTATGATGTACAAACGGGCCTAAGAGTCCCAAAAAAGTCCAAAAAATGCTCCAAAAAGTCCCTTTTTTTGCTCTTTTTTTCTGTTTCTTTTAGACATAATGGACAGCTAATAAAACAGTTCGTAAAGATTTGTCGAAATCTTTTTTCGCTAAAAAGAAAGAAGTCTTTTGAGCATTTGAAGGGACTTTCGGGCGGCTTCAATGATGAACAAATGGGCCCAAAAGTGTCCAAAAATGCTCAAAAAAGCCTCAAAATGTCCCTTTTTCTCCACGTTTTTAGACATAATGAACAGACAATAAAATACTTTGCGAGGGATTAGTTGGAAACTTTCTTCCTGCAAAAGAATGAAGTCTTTTGAGCATTTAAATAAGCTTTCTCGCGGCTTCACTAGTGACTATTTAGGCCCCAAAAGTCCCAAAAAAGCTCAAAAATGGTTCAAAATGTCCCTTTGTTTCCCCTTTTTTCAGACATGATGGACAGAAAATGAAATAGTTTGTGAAGGGTCCGTTGGAAGCTTTCTTTGCGCGAAAGAAAGGAGTCTTTTGAGCACTTGAATGACCTTTCTGGAGGCCTCACTAGTGACAATTTGGGCTCGAAAAGTCCCGAAAATGCTCCAAAAAGGCCCCAAAAGTGCTTCTTTTTCCGCTGTTTTTAGACATGATGGACAGACAGTAAAACGGTTTGCGATGGGTCCGTTGGAAACTTTCTTTGCGCGAAAGAAAGGAGTCTTTTGAGCATTTGAATGAACTTTCTGGTGGTTTCGTCGTTGAGGATGTGGGCGACTTGGCTCACGTTCAGTTTCGAGCGCCCCGCGCGCTCGTGAATGCCCACCATGGTGACCCCCATGGGCCAGGGGGCGTTGCCCACGGCCAGCAGCACAAACCTGCAAACCCCAAACCCTAAAACAGCGACTCCACTCCCTTCAAACCCTCCCTAACTCTCCCAAACCCTCGCTGCAATTAAACCCCAAAAAACCCCAGCTTTCCACGGTCAAAATGAGCCAAAAATCGATCAAAACCACACTCTTACGCTAAACCCTAAATTAGGGTTTGAGGTGCTGAAAAAAAGGCGGACGTTTAAACCCTTAATTGGGGTTTTTGAGATACTGAAGATGGTGGATACGTTGAACCCTAAATGAGAGACTTTGAGGCACTGAAGAGAGGATGTCTTAAACCCTAAATTAGGGACATAGAAATGTTGAAGAAGGAAGAGCTTTAAACCCTAAATTGGGGACTTTGAGACACTTAAGGGCACGAATTTCAAACCCTAAAATTGGGACTCTGAGATAATTAAGACGAGAGGCTTCTGAACCCTAAAAAGTGTTTTAGAGACACTAAACAGAGGGGACAATTCAAACCCTAAAAAGTGTTTTGGAGAAACTGCAGAGGAAGGGCTTCAAACCCTAAATTAGGGACTTCCAGAAAGTGAAGAGAGGAGACAATTAAAACCCCAAATTAGGGACTTGGAGACAACTTCATTTTTTTCTTATTCAATCAACCCCCTAATCAACTAATCTTTTGTTCATCTATTACTTGTTTATTTTGTATTTGGTTTATTCATCTATTTATTTGTTTATTTATTTATTCATCTATTTATTTATTTGTTTATTTCAGTTAATTGAATAAGCAATTATTTAATTATATACTTATTCGCTGTAATCAATTAAATTAATTAAATTATTAATTCGATTAATGATTAATTACATAGTTGAATAAATTACATTAAATAATTAAATTAAATTAAATTAATAATTAAACTAAATAATCTAATTGAATTAAATTAAATTAATAATTAAATTAAATAATCAAATTAAATAATTAAATAAAATAAAACAAATAAATAAATAAATAAATAAGTCTTACGCGCCATGAGCTTCTCTGTATTTTCTTTCTTTCGCCAAATTCACAATTACAAAAAGCTTCTCCAAAATGTCCAACTCCAAACTAAACAAACCACATAAATAAATAAATAAATAAATAAATAAATAAATAAATAAATAAATAAACAAAGTAATAAATGAATAAACAAATAATAAATAAATAAATGAAATAAAGGAGGCAATAAATGAGACACTAAAAGAGATAAAAAGAAACAAAGAAAGAAAAAAAGATGAAAAATAAAGGAGATAAAAGGGTTAGAAGGAGACAAAAAAAGACAAAAAAGAATGGAAAAAAGAGACAAAAAAGACAACAAAAAGGACAATTAAAAGACAAAAAAGGAGACGATAAAGGGGACAATTAAGGAGGAAATAAAAGAGATAAAAAGGGGACAAAAAATAGAAGCAGAGACAAAAAAGAAAGGGAAAAAAGATAGAAAAAGGAGCCAAAAAAGGCCAAAAAAAGGAAAAAGAACGAAAAAAAGGAGACAAAAAGAGAGAATAAAAGAGACAACAAACGAGACAATAAAAGGGAAATAAAGAAAACAATAAAAGAGATAAAAGGGGACAAAAAGCAAGAAGGAGGAGACAAAAAAGAAGCAGAAAAAAGGCAGAAAAGCGGACAAAAAAAGACAAAAAACACCGGAAAAGGGAAACAAAGAAGGGAACAAAAGAGATAATAAAAGAGACAATAAAGGAGACAAAAAAGAGACAAAAAAGAGACAAAAAAGAGACAAAAAGAGACAAAAAGAGACAAAAAACAAAAAAAAGAAATTACTCTCTCTGTCGAAGTCTTTTTATTAAAGGCCGCAAATCCTTTTTGGTCTGGCGGTGTATAGACGCCTGCTGACGGCCCTCGGGAGTTGCCTTTTCTTCTTCGGATCTAAAAATAAAAAAAAAATAAATGAATTAAAATGAAATTTAATGAATTAAAATGAAATTTAATGAATTACAATGAAATTTGATGAATTCAAATGGATTAAAATGAGTTAAAATGAATTAAAATGAATTAAAATCAATTGAAATCAATTAAAGTGAATTGAAAAGAGATTAAAAGAGATGCAATTGAGATAGGATGGAGATAAAGGGGACTAAAGGCGAGAAAAAGAAAAAAGAGATAAAAAGAATTAAGACGAAATAAAAGACATAAAAGAAATAAGAGGAAATAAAAGAATAAAAATAAATAAAGAAATAAAAAGAAATAGAAAGAAATAAAAGATATTGAATCGGGATAAAAGGGATTAAAAAGAGATGGAAAAAGATAAAAGATGATAAAAGACGAAAAAGATAAAATGAAATAAAGAAACAAAAATAGAAAAAAGAAATAAAAAGATTAAAAGAGGGTAAAAAAAGTAAAAGGGACAAAAAAGGAAAAGAAAGAAACAAAAAAGACAAAAAGAGACAAAAAGAAAAAAAGAAATAAAAAGAATTAAAAGGTTTTGAAGGAATTAAAAGAAATAAAAAAAGTTGAAAAAAGACAAAAAGATAAAAATGAGTTCTAATAAAGATTAAAAAGAAGAAAAAGGGACTAATAGGGATTTAAAAAATTAAAAGAATTAAAAAAATAAAAAGTCAGAGATTAAAAGATTAAAAAGCATTTACAGATTTGAGAAGAATTAAAGAAAATAAAAGAACCGAAAGAAATAAAAAGATGAAAAGAAAATAAAAAGAATTAAAAGAAAATAAAAAGAATTAAAATAAAATAAAAAGATTAAAATGGATTAAAAGGATCAAAAGAGATTTCCGAACAAAGAATTAAAATTGAAAAAAGAATTGCAAATGAATTCTTTTTGATTTTAAGAACTGAATCAAAAAAGAAATTAAAGCTGAAAAGAAATTATTCAAAAAAGATTTAAATTAAAGAAAAAAATAAAAAGAAATAAAATAGTGAGAAATAAAATAAAAAGAAGTAAAAGAAATAAAACGAAAAATAAAAGAAATCAAATAGAAAAGAAATAAAATAAAATTGAAATAAAAGAATTTACTTTTCCCGGAGTTCCTGTTCCCACAAAGAAAGCATTTCTCTTATCCAGTTAATTACTCTGAAAAGCAAAATAATAAAAATAAAGTCATAAAAGAATTATTAAACTATTTAATTAATTTTAATTCCAAAAAAGCAGCAGCAGCAGCTACAGCAGCAGCAGCTACAGCAGCAGCAGCTACAGCATCAGCAGCTACAACAGCAGCAGCTACAACAACAACAACAACAGCAGCAGCAGCAACAGCAGCAGCAACAGCAGCAGCAGCAACAGCAGCAGCAGCAACAGCAGCAGCAGCAACAGCAGCAGCAACGGACACATCTTCTTTAGTTTCTTCTTTTGGAATTTGGCCTTCGGGCTTTTCTGTCTCCTTTGATGCAGCTTCTGTTTGCTGACCACCTGCAAATAAATAAAAATAAATAAATAAACAATTATCTAATTATAAATAAATAAATTTAAATAATAATTAAACATAATAAATATTAATAAATAAATAAATAAATACAAATGAATGAATAAATAAATAAAGAAATAACAAACATAAATGAATAAATAAATAAATAAATAAATATATAAATTTAAATAAGTAAATAATTAATTAACTATAAATAAATAAATAAATAAATTAATAAATAAATGAATAAATGAATAAATAACAAATAAATAAATAAATAAAAATGAAAAAAAAAGTGTTGGCCAGAATGCATTTGTAGAATTAAAAAAGGATCAAAAAAGGTGAAAAGGTTTTATAGATCTGCGACAAAAAAGATTTAAAAATGCCAAAAAAAGAATTTTGAATGAAACAAAAGAATAAAGAAAGATAAATAAAGATAAACAAAAATAAAGAAGCAAAAAGAATCAAAAAGGATTAACAAGGATCAAAAAGGATAAAAAAGAACCAAAAAGGATAAGAAAGAACCAAAAAGGATTAAAAAAGAACCAAAGAGGAATAAAAATGATGGAAAACCTTTATAAATCTCATTTAGTGACAAAAACAGAAGTAAAATGGATATAAATGATCTAAAAACGCCAAAAAAAGCATTTTTGATGAAACAAAACGATAAATAAGGAAAAATAAAGATAAACAGCGAAAAAAAGGACCAAAAAGAACCAAAAAGGATCAAAAGAGGATCACAAAAGAAGAAAAACCTTTGTAAATCTCTTTTAGTGACAGGGAAAGAAGTGAAAGAAACAAAAATGATCTAAAAGTGCTAAAAAAGGCATTTTTGATGAAACAAAAAGGTAAATAAAGATAAATAAAGACATTTAAAGATAAAAAGCGAAAAAAAGGACCAAAAAGGATCAAAAAAGGATCAAAAAGGAAGAAAAACCTTTGTAAATCTCTTCTTCTTCTTCGGCCTCTTTTTGCAAAGACAGAAAAACGTTCTTTTGCCCCTCCGGCATTTCGTCGTCCATCAGCTGTACCTCCAGCCGGCAAAGGCGCTGATATCTAAAACGAAAATAAAATAAAAATAAAAAATAAATAAATAAATAAATAAATAAATAAAGGGAATTAAATGGAGCTAGAGGAGGGGAATGGTTGTTTGGTTTGTTTGCGAAGTTCAGATTTAAATCCCCCACAAAAAACGCAGTCCGTATGGGGCAGACACACTAAATAAACAACAAATAAATAAACAAATAAATAAATAAATAAATAAATAGACAAATAAATAATAAATTAAAAAATAAATAAATAAATAAAGGGAATTAACTGGAGTTGGAGGAAGGGAATAGATTTAAATCCCCCACAAAAAACGCAGTCCGTATGGGGCAGACACACTAAATAAATAAATAACTAAAATAATAAATAATAAATAAATAAATACATAAATAATAAATAAATAAATAATTGAATAAGGAAATAAATAAATGAACCAAATCAATTAACTAATTAATTAAACTAATTAAACGAATTAAATGAATTAAATGAATTAAATGAATTAAATGAATTAAATTAATTAGATCAATTAAATTATTAAAAATAAATAAATAATCAATTAAAACACCTTTTCCAAAAAGAGTGACTGGCTAAATAATGAAGTATATAACTTATCAGAGAGCAAATTAAACGGCGAACTAAATAAACAAACAAACAAATGAATAAATAAATAAATAAATAAATAAACTGACAAATTAATTAAATTAATTAAATTAATTAAATTAATTAAATTAATTAAATTAATTAAATTAATTAAATTAAATGAATTAAATAAATTTAATAAATTAATTACCTTTCCCACGGAGTTTTTCCAAAAAGAGTCACTGGCTAAATAATGAAGTATATAACATATTAGAGAGCTGTTTGAACAGCTAATTGAATAAATAAATAAATAAATAAATAAATAAATAAATAAATAAATAAATAATTAAATTAATTAATTAATTACCTTTCCCATGGAGTTTCTCCAAAAAGAGTCACTGGCTGTTTGATGGCTCGAAGTCTGCGGAAGACTTCGGGTGTCTCTACAGGAGGCGTTGCCTCTTCTGGGGCTGCATGCGCTGAAGAAAAAGAAAAGAATTTAATTAAATTAATTAAATTAATTTAATTAATTAACTTAATTAGTTTAATTAGTTAAATTGATTAAATTAGTTTAATTGGTTTAATTGGTTTGATTTGATTTAAATTGATATAATTAATTAAATTAAGTTGATTCGATTTTGGTTTAATTTGAGTTAGTTTGATTTGATTTGATTTAATTAAACGAATCAAACTGAATTATATTTGATTGGAATGAATTAAATTGGATTAATTGGAATTTAATTAAATAAATTAAATGAATTAAATAAATTAAACGAATTAAATAAATTAAATAACTAAATAAGTTAAATTTGATTAAATATATTAAATAAATTAAATAAATTTAATTTAATTGAATAAAAGGAGACAGAAAAAGGGCAAAAACCATAAAAGGCCACAAAAGGCAAAAAGAAAAAAAGAGAAAAAATAAAAAGAATAAAAAGGAGACAACAAAAGGAGACAAAAAGAGAAAATGAAAAATAAGAGAGAGACAACAAAAGGAGACAAGAAGGAGACAAGAAAGAGACAAAAAGGAGACAAAAAGGAGACAAAAAGGAGACAACAAAAGGAGACAAAAAGGAGAAAGAAGAAAAGAAAAAAGAACAAAAAAGAGCCAAAAGTAAATAAAAAGGGCCAAACAAGCCGAAAAGATTGTCAAAAATAGTCAAAAAGTGGCGAAAAAGAGGAAAATAAAAGGAAAAAAGGAGAGAACAAAGGGAGGCAACAAAAGGAGACAACAAAAGAAGGCAAAAATGAGAAAAAAGAAAACAGAAAAGGGAGAAAATAGTCAAAAAGGAGCCAAAAAGAGCCAAAAAGGGTTTCAAAAAGGTGGGGAAGAGTTTTAAATATTCAAAAATAGTCAAAAACAGTGAAAAATGGAGTAAATAAAAGGAAAAAAGCAGAAAACAAACGGAAAAAGGAGACAAGAAAAGGAGACAGAAAAGGAGACAAAAGAGGGAAAAAAGCGGGGAAAAAAGATCCAAAAAGAGCCAAAAAAAAGTCCAAAAGATTCGAAAAAAGCCAAAAAAGTAAAAAAGACCTTCTGCGTTTTCTTCCTGGGCTTTGTTTGGAGCCAAACGAAAGCGCTTCGCCGCCAGACGCTCTTGCAGTTCCTAAAAACAAAATAAATATTTTAATTAATTAATTAATTAATTAATTAATCAATTAATTAATTAATCAATTGATTAATTAATTAATTAATTTGTTTATTTGTTTACTTATTTGATTTGGTTTGGTTTAATTGATTTAATCGAGTTAGTTTGATTTGATTTGGTTAGTTTGGTTTAATTTGGTGGGTTTAGTTGGCTGTTTGTTTTGTTCTGTTTTATTTGGTTGTTTATTATTTGATTTGATTTAGTTTAATTTGATTTAATTTAATTAATTAAATTAATTGATTAAATTAATCAATCTAATCAATTTAATTAATCTGATTAATTTAATGAATTTAATGAATTTAATCAATTTATTTAATTTAATTAATCTGATTAATGTGAAGAGATAAAAGGTGACACTTAAAAACAATAAAAGCAAGTAGAAATAAAACAAGTAAAAACAAAATAGAATTAGAATGAAATAAAAATGAAATTAGGAAATGCGAAAAA